TTTTTATATAAATAAAAATATTTAATTTATATAACATATATCTTTTATTTTGAATTATAAAAATGAATTTCTTTATTTAAATAAATTTGGGCCAGGCCTGTAAGTTTTTATAAAAAATTTTGGACCGGACTTAAAAAATTAACCCCATTACCCATTCTTCATAAAATACAATATCTCTCTTCCACCCAGTTCTCCAGCTGTGATTATATAGTTTAGCAATTTATGTTTTTGATGAAAAAGGATCTTCTTTGCTATATGAAAACTTTGAGATACCTTATTAAAAGCAAATATAATTTTCTTAATTAAATTTTATATATTATTAAATTTCAAATTTTACTAAAAATTTTATTGTAAAAAAATAAGTAATAGGGGTTGCAAATTTTATTTATTAGCGCTTAATTATGGGGAAAAATATATATGAAAATTTTTTGGATAAAAATATTCAATTGTCAAATACTTAAAAAAGTTAGCATTCATCAGGGTTAGCACTAACACAAATGTTTCTATTTAAAATAGTTTTTTGCAGGGATCCAAACCAAAACGAATATCGGTTCGGGTTCGGATAAAGATAACGGTTTAAGGTTCAGGTTCGGTTCGTAAAAAATTAAAATATTGGTTCGGTTCGAACCTCTAAAAACCAGGTTGAACAGTTTTGTATTCAAACCTACATTCTAATTATGTATAGGGAAAATATTTTATTAATTTAAAAAACACATGTATAAAACTTTCATTTTTATTAATTGCAACGAGGCCCTCAATTTCATCAAAATCATAGGAAAAAAAATGAGACAGATCTCAGGGGACCCCAATGAAGGATTTTACCTTTGCCGGCAGATTTCCCTGGAAATTTGCCGGTCTAATTTTTTAAGCATTCACTCTTCTCTTGGATGATATATATCCACCTTTTTTTTAAAAATATATATATATTTTTTTTATAGTATCCATTTTAATATATATTTTTTAATCCTCTGTAAATTATATAATTTATTTTATAATATTTTTTTTTTAAATAATAAAAAAGTCGAATTTAAATTTATAAATATAAAAATATATATTAATGATTAATTTTAATATGAACAATATTTTCCTTTTTTTACTTAAATTTTTTTTATTAAGCCGCACAATTAATATATTTTCAAAATTCGGCTTACTCAAATTACAACTATAATGAGATAGTATAAATTTAATTGTTGAAACATCTTTCCACACTAACTTGGGTAGCCGGCACTGCCAATATGATATCAGATTTGATATGTCATTTATAATAATATTTTAAATTTAATTTTTTTCTAAGCATTATAATTTATAATCTTAAAATATTTAAAAAATGTTGTAAAATGACAATATACTAAAGTTTAAAAAAATTATGACCTACACTTATCAATCAAATGTGATTGATGATAATCTTTAAAATAATTCGAATATAATTGAAATCTAATAATAACTTACATATTATCAGTGGCCTCTACAACGGGGGGGGGGGAATAGGGGGGGTGTCCGAAGCAATCAGTAAATTTGAGTGGGGGTACCAATTTTTTTTATTATTTAATTCTTTTACTGTTTTGTTACATCCATCATGATCAAGTGATTTCTGCCCCCCCCCAGATTACATTTAACAGGTACTTTTCAATCATAGTTGATGGCACATATGATGTTTCGAAACCAGAAGCAATAGCTTTGATAGTAAGATATGTTGAAAATAGAGAGACGCCGAAGCCTGTTGAAAGACTGATTGACATATATTGTACGGGAAATACCACAGGTCTCGACATTAGGCATAATATAATATCCAAATTTGGCTCGATGAATTTACCCCTTGAATTGGGCAAAGTTATGATGGCGCCTCAAACATGAGTGGAAGAATCAATGGTGTGCAGGCTTTGATAGAGCAGAGGCGCCAAAGGCAGATTTTATTTGGTGTTATTGTCATCGATTAAATTTAATCATTGTTCAATTATGCCAATCAATTAAAGAACTTCGAAATGTTCTAGGAATAATAGATGAGATTTATATCTATTTTAATGGTGTAAAAAGATATAAGGTACTCAAAAAATGTCAGTGTAATGATCTGAAAAAAATCGCAACGATTTCTACGCATCAAGAATACCACTCGGTAATAGTACCTTATTTATTTAAATTTTGTTTTTTTATTTAGAAGCTGGCTATCGTCATATAAAGCTATTGTAAAAATTTTTCTACTTTATGATGCCTTGAGGGCAGCTTTAACAAATTTAAAGGATTCTGAAGATCCTGCCACTTCCACTATGGCTAATGCTAGTATTTAGAATAGAAAAATTTGATCTTATCTTATCACTTTGTGTTTTGGATAAAATATTGTTGATAACAAGTTTGGCGTGTACAAAATTGCAAACCATTTCGAAGGATATAGGGTTTGCAATAAATCAAATTCAATTGGCAAAAGATTGCTTGATTAATTTGATAAGTATAATATAAATTATTTTTTAATCTAATAGATAATAACACTGAATTTTTGGATGTTTTTTCAAAGGCACAAGATTTTATAAAGGAGAGAAATCTACCTTTTGATTTTGAAAGTTCTAGACTTCAAACTTTACAATCCAAAAAGGAGAGGTATATATACTTTCATCATTAAATATAGAATTTTTTTTAGCTTTATAATGGTGTGTTTTATGCTGCACTCGATTTAATTATTGCAGTTTAACGAAAAATTTAATGATGATTCGATGAAATTTTTACATCAAACATCATTTTTACGCCAAATAATGTAGCAGAAAAATCAATTAAGGAAGATATCGAGGATATCCGTGAATTTTACAATTTAAATTCAAGTCAAATTTTTGAAGAAATGTTGAAGTTTAGAAATATTTATAAGATGGCCAAAATGGGGAATGTAATTATAACTCATAACGTAGAGGTTAAAGAATCTAAAGATTTATCGGATTCTGAGAATCGTAAATTTATTTAATTAAAAAATTTTTACCAATACATTATTTAGCTTCTTCTGATGATGATAATTCAGGGACTTACGATTCAGATTGGAAAAATTATTCATTTATTTTACCTTATGGTCTACTTTTAAATTTTTCTGTTCCCTAATTTAACAATTTTATATAAATATTTATTAACCATTCTTACAACCTCATGTACTGCCGAAAGAGTCATGAGTAAAATTAAGTTAAATAAAACAAGACTTGTAGTACCATGAAAGATTCATTTCTCAATAATTTAACCATATTGTCAATGGGAAAAATTTTTTTAAACAATTAAATATTGATGAAATTATAAAATCTTTGGCTTTCTCTTCCCCTAATTTATCTAAATTATTAATTTAAAAATAATATTTATAAAGTATATATTTTTTCCATTTTATTTATATTATATATTAAAAATTGATGCAATAAAAATTATTTTTGAAATTTATGGGTGTCATAAAATAATTACATTTTTTTCGAGGGGGGGTGGGTACTTTTTACGTGGGTATTCTACTTTATTCGCTCAGAAAGTGTAGGGACCACTGCATATTATTTTATAAGCATAAAATCATGAGACTCGAACCGGTTCAGAAGCATTTTAGCGGTTCGGCTGGAATTTTTTTAGCGGTTTAGATTAGGTTCAGGTTCGATAAAAAATACCAGTTTTTAGTGGTGTAACGGTTCGGTTTGAATCCCTGGTTTTTTTAATATAGTATTTAAATATTTTTTATATAATTTAGTATTTCATATACTAAAAAATATTTTGGATAATACAAAAAGTTGTTTTTATTATAAGTTGATTTTAAATGTAAATACAAAATTAAATTTGTAAGGCTAGCAAATAAATATTTACAAAAGTGAAATCAAAAATATAAATTTTTTTGAATATATTGATATAAAACTACTATTGAGTGTTTTTATTAAGTTATTACAAAACAATGTCCATATCCTTTACATGTATATAAACAATTTTGATGGAAAGTGTCACCCACACCCATATTGGCTGTGCTAAACATACATTAAACTAGAATGATGGGAGGGTTGAAAATATTTGATATGCTTTTGGGTTGAGTTGATTGAAAAAATGGAACAAAAATATTCAAACTTTATAAGTTAAGGAATATGATTATTTTAGTTTTGATAAATATATTAATGTTAATAAAACTTCTAACAATGCAGAATTAGAAGTATTAAATTATTTAAAAGATGAGTACCAAGATAATGATCTGCATCAGGATGCATAATTTTTCAAGCATAACCTGACTCAAATTTTTTTTAAAAAACTGGTCTAGCCCAATACTGAACAAAAAATATTTTGTCCTATAAGGCATGACACTAAATATAAAAAAATTATTTGTCCACAAAATACAAATATATTAAATATAGAACTTGTTTCTTCCAAGAATTTTAAAATACTTCAATTTATTCCATAAAATTAAGTGATATCATATTTTAAAAAACTAAACTTTGCAGAGCCCAAAACTATCTTTAAAAAATAAGTCTAGATGTTTAGATTATGATATGCTATCTCTGCACTAAGATATCTATATATATGCTAAATAATTTTGGAAATTTTTTATATTTCTATTATACCATCTCCTGCTATGCTGTAATTATTGTATTTTGCAAATTTAATTAATAGGCCTACTAAGCATAAATTAAATATTTTATTTAAAAGCTAATATTAAAAAATAATGTATTCTAATTTTAGAAAATGGTTAAATCAAATATTATATAAGTAAAGAAAATTGATAGTGGTTCTATAAAATTGACTTGCAAAAGGTATTTATTTGTGCAAAAAGTTTTCATCAATTAAATAATTTTTTTGAAAAATTGCCCAACCCTAAACATTTAATGAACATTTGTAGTGTTTTTTTTTAATATTAATAATGTGTTAATCCCAGTTATGCATGTTTTTTAAAATATAATTTGTCTTATTTAAAAGTATAAAATTAAAACATCATATACTAAACAAAAACATCAATCTTATTCTAGAATTTGACATATATATTTAGCATAACCTTATATCATTAAATTTACACTATTAATCAAAACAGTTTAAAAGTAAATGTTGTATTCATGGAAATTACAAATTTTTCATAGCAATATATATTTAAATGATTTATAAAAGGTATTATACAATATATTTTGCATGCATACCAATAGCATTAATGTTAAATAGATATTTATACACTATTTTTTCCCAGATTTTTTTATTCCACCGCCAACTATATTTAATTAAATAAAAGTATTTATAATAAGTAATAACCTAATGGTCCCTTCTGGGAAGCTTTAACTGCTGCTTCTTTCAATAATTTTTCCTCTTGCTTTTTCTTATCTTGAAAGGCTTTATCTTGCTTGAAAATAGAGTATTTTAAAAATTAGTTAATAATTTACTTCATCCATATCCTTAGATTCTTTTTTGGGTTGTTTTAAAGGTTTTTTTTTACCTCCTTTATAAATAGTTATCAAATTTTATATTAATGTATTTACCTTCTCGTCCAGACATTTGAGCGGTAAATTATAAATAAGAGAGGTGTATGAAAGTTTGAAAAAATTACGGTTTTACTAAAATGTGTATAGAAAGGTAAAAAAAAATATCATAGTTTATAGTTATTCAATTATAGGTTAAAATTAGAATTAAAATTGTTTTATAATATAATCAAAAATAATTTTAATTTAGATTTATATTAAATAAAATAGTAAATGGAAAGAAAATAGTTTATAGATATGATTTAACTTTTTAAAAGAACATATATACATAATTATAAATTTATAAAATGATAGGATAATCTTCATTAGAGGGCATATAGTAGACTTTTTTAAATCATATATAATTATAAGTGATGTTTGTTTAGCGTTAACCCTTCAATACTCCGGTGGGGTATATGAAACCGCAGGCATGCTAGATATGGTATTATATAATAACGGCTAAATATTATGATCTAGATTCTTCAGTAGCTTTAAAAAATATATCTTAGAACCTATATTCCAAATTTCATATATTTCGGTTAGTAGTTTTTAGGATATAAATATTTTGTGCCTGATTGGGGTTTGTGAAACCCACTCCACCAGAGTAAATTTGTAATTTTTTCAGAAATTTTATTATTTTAATTTTTAAAATTATTAATATATTCTACTTATTATAAAATTTATTAAAACAAAATTTAAATAACTTATATTTTGAATGAGATATTTCAAAAAGAAAACATTTTCTCTGGAGGAGTTATTTTATTTTTATTTTTCACCAGCTGACTCATATCTCAAATTATTTTTATCATTTATAATGAATTTTGCAGATTTTGAAACTATATATATAATTATTTAAGATGTAATATCATTTTATTTGAGGTGATTATGACAATGTAATTAATAGTGAATGAAGATTTTATATATGATAGTGATCATGATACACAATCTGAATTAGATGAAGAAAAAATGTTAGTTGAAGAAAATAAACTTAATATTATTTAAATAAATATGGAATCATCTATCATAGAATATCCCTCTTTAAAATTAACTAAAAATATAAGTTTATTAAATGAAAAAAGGATCTTCCTAATTAACGAATTAGAACTTGTCAACAAAATTTAGTTATTCATCTTCCAGGAGTAAAAGAAATTGGAAAGAAGCTGACACTCCAGAAAAATGTTTTGGCGTGTTTATAACACCAAAAATGATTGAAGAGATTAGTTTTCATACCAATGAAAAGAAGAAAATTATATGTATTAACTATACTCACCAGTAAGAAAATTCTACTAAAGAAGTTGATGTAACACAATTTAAGGCATCATTGGTTTTGAACAACTATCACTAACACATACTTTAAAATATACATATGAATATATGTATAATAAAAATTAACTTTATTTCCCATAAATTATATTAATCTTATAATCATACACATCAGTCATCACATAAACATATATTTAAGTATATACAAAAATCCATCAACCAAAGAACATCTGATCTTCTCTTTTTTACATTCATCCTCTAGCAAAAACTAATTACAAAGATCACTTTTGATTGACATTTCATATATATCATTTTGTTATATAAATAAATATATAACAATAATACAAAACTACAATTGGTAAATCTTTATTTAGCTGGAATTTTTAAATCTAACCATCATAATAAAAAAACAAAATATTTTTTTTCAAATATGTAAAATAAATTTGTGTTTAGAACACATTAATGTTTTATGTAAAAAATGTTTTACATGTCAAATTTAACATATTTCAATGTTCTATATTTTTTTTATGTTTGAATGTATTAATGTAATTTTTTATATATTGAAAAAAAAGATCCATATTATGAATTATCATGATTTTATGGTAGATACGTTTTTTTTTTAATTTAAATTTTTTTTTAGAAAATTTTGGCACAAATTATATTTATCCTCATCATTCAATGACATATAATAATACCTAGACTGACGATTCATTCATTAAAAGTGTACATCAATACAAATCAGCTAGAGACGCCATCTTGGTTACTGTAATAAATATTAAAATTTTAAACGAGAGCCTAATTTTATATTATATCTGATGCAAACTTTATTAAAGAATTGCCTGTTCATCGAGATAATAAGAAAGTAAGTTATCAATTTAATATTAGTTTTTAACATGAAAATAATTATTATAAAGGTTACCAAAATGGCGGGTCCAGCTGATTTGCTTTTAACGACGCTTAAAAATGCATTTTAATGAATGAATCGTCAGTCTAGGTATTATTATATGTCATCATCTTTAATCTAAACTTAAGAAATAAAAATAAATAAATATTTTATCAAGTTTAAGGTTAGTTTTATCTTATATACAAATATTAAATAAAAATAGTGTTGTACGAAGTTCGTTTTTTTGAAAAAAATGATGAACGGCATTCCTTTTATTTTTGACGAACTTTGAACGTGAACGCGTTCCTTTTTTATGATGAACGCGTTCGAATTTAGAGCGTTCAATTTTAAAGATACTTTTCATTTTTATTTATTTGAAAAATTTAATATTTCCGAATTTTTTTAAAAAAGGTATTATTTATATTTTTTTAATCGGCTGCGTATTTCCTTTTTACATTTCAATTTTTTTAACACATAGTTTATTAAGTTGAATATTATTGTTTATATTTTAATTTAATAGATTAGCATAAACTTGGATATTATTATTTAATCCTCATCATCTGATTCTGAAAATCCAAAATCAGATGAATTATCATTAACATGGCCAAATATGATAAATGCTTTAAAGTAACATCCTATATTAAAGGAACTAATTCAATGCTTACCAAGTGTAAAATGTGCCCAAAAAGTATTATATTGTCAAAATCTTCAGGTTCCAATTTAAAACGACATTTGATTGTAATATTAATTATTTTATTTTATATAATATAACTAAGTAAAATCATTATGAAGAAAAAATGCATTTGAGATATTTGACCCCAACAATAACGATAGTTATTTCAAAATTAAAAATTTAGTGGCCTCAAATATAGTCAGTCAACCATTGATACACGCCGTATTAAATGGGATTAATAAAAGGTATTAAACTTATCACTCTCAATTAATTACATATATTTTATTTTTTTTTAAAGATTTAAACATATATATGAAGATCAATATGTTCTTTCTGCAATTATACATCCAGTATTCAAGCTTCAATGGCTATGGATAAAACTTCCACAGAACGAACCTATTAAAAATAAACTTATAGCGTTATTGACAAAAATGCTTTAAAAACCCTAGAAATGATAATACAAGAAGTGTTAATTTCGAGATATCCTATTTTTTGTCGAGGAAGTAGAGAATGGATTGGAGGATAACTTATCTTAATTCTTGGAAGCAAATAACAAAACAATAAATGTTTCTAATAAATTTCCCACGTTAAGTTATTTATTAAGTATAATACCGCAATCATCTACCTGTGAGCGCGTTTTTAGTATAGCTATTAGCTAATGCCGTATTAACTGCCAAGCGTTCTTGCATGAAAATTTTGAAAAATTAATAAGAAAAATTTTTTTAAATAAAAATATCCTTTTATTTTATATATTATTTTGAATTTATAATTATATATCAAAATAAAACTATATTATTTTTTAACATGGCTAATATTGTGTTAATCAATAAGATATTTATTTATATTAGAAAATTTTTAAAAAAATTTATCATAATTTTGAACGGTTCATGAACGTGTTCGATTTTTGTCAATGAACGTTGAACGCGTTCGATTTTTTAAAAATGTTTACAGCACTAAATAAAAATAATGAATATAACTGGCAATATATACATTTGAAATTGGGGTATATTAAACCCCACACGAGTACTAACGTCACTTATTTCACCGAGGTATTGAAGGGTTAATATAAACTCTCCTAAGAGAGCGTCTACATGACAAAATTTCCATTAGATGCGAACTCTTCTCAAAAACTCCCCTTTACATCTAAAAATTTAATAGATAACTCCCCAGTATATTTTCCTATCCCTTAAAGGCGCCTACCTGCCCCCTTCAAATTGTAGGACCCCCCTCCACCACTACTCATGTAGACGCTGTGCTAAGATGCTTATTTACAAAGTAAAAAATCTGAGGTTTCCATCATGTGTCTAAGAATTATGCCGTAAATATAAGACTATTCACAGTTTAGTAATTTTTTAAAATAAATTAAATTTTTATTAGTTTAAATAATGTTATAAATACTAACTTGTTAAAGCGCAAAATATTTGAGGTATCCAGTTTAGTTAAGAATACCGAAAATAAAAGTGCATTCGAATTTTAGTCTTTTCTATTTTTTAAATTTTTGGAATATACCAAGTATATAATTTATTTAATTATAAAATGCAAAATACCCCGGGTTCCATCATTACCCTATGAATAATTCTGAAAATAAAAGTTCCTCATTTGTTATTTTTTTAAAAGAGTAAAATATTATATTTTTACGTAATATTATATATTCTAACTTATTTAATCGCATAGTGCAAAGAATTTGAATTTTCCATTATTTACTTAAGAATTATATCGAAAACAATGATATATATCATTGACCGAAAATAAAAGTCCATTCGCAGTTTAGCCTTTCCTATTTTTTAGATTTTCGCTATAAGTATTTATTTATTGTACGAATTTTGTAATACTAAATTATTTAATTTAAAAATACAAAAAATATCGGAGTTCCGTCATTACTTAATAAATTATTCCGAAAATAAAACTCCATTTTTAGTTGTCATTTTTTAAATAGTAAAATTTTATATTACTATATAATATTGAAGACACTAACTTATTTAATCATAAAGAGGAAGAAATTTGATGTTTCCATCATTATTCTAAGAATTCTGCCGAAAATAAAAGTTCATTCAGTTTAGTCCTTTCTATTATTTAGATTTTTAGAATATTAAAAATATTTTCTTTGTACTAATTTTGTAGATACTAACTTATTCAACTATAAAATAGGGCCCGGATTTTATTCGTTTAAATAAGTTAGTATCTACAAAATTCATTCAAAAAACCAATACTTTTAATATTCCAAAAAAATCTAGAAAAGATTAAACTGAGAATGGGCTTTTATTTTCAGTATAATTCTTAAAGAAATGATGGAAACCCCAAATTTTTTGCGCTATGATTTAATAAGTTAATATCTACAATAATTTTATAAAAGTAAAAAATGTAAATTTTTTTAAAATAATAGCTAAACTGAGAATTTACTTTTATTCTAGGCATATTTCTCGAGTGAATTATGGAAACCTCAAATTTTTCTTGCTTTAAATTATGTAAAAAATTTTAAATTATAATATTTAAATAATGATTAAACTGAGAATGAACTTTATTTTGGGAATAATTCTAAGTAAAAACTCCCGACTTGCATTTTATAATTAAATAAGTTATTATTTACAAAAAATAAATATTTTTAATATTCCAAAAATTAATAGAAGAAGCTAAAATAGAGAATAGACTTTATTTTTGGAATAATTCTTAGGACTCAACTTCAAAACTATATTTGTCTATTAATTGAAGAAAAAATTTTTGATCCAGATTTATCAAAACTATATTTGTCTAATAATTGAAGAAAGAAATTTGCTCGTGTTTTCTCTTAAAATTTATGTTAGGAAGCGTCCGATCTTGTATCGCGCTACTTCCAAAAATTCACGGGCTGAATATTAAATCTATTTAGATATCATCTCCCAAATTAATAAAAAAAACAAATAATCAGATTAGCGTTAGCTAAAAAGCTGACATAAATTTTTACAATTATTAAATTATACCAAATATATTATTATTATCCAAAAGTTATATTCACCAATCTGATATATATAAATGGCGGATAAATAATATTTATCTATATATTAAATCATGGAAATTTAAAAATATACAATTATAATTCTTTGAAATGGGAATATCCCTCTTGCTTTATGATATTTTACTATTAATTCCATTTCTCATATTTTAATTATGTCATTATTATTAAAAATCGTATATGGTGATATCAGAATGAGTAATTAAGTCATGTATAATGTTTATTTTATATATTTTTTTATGTGAATTTTATCATTTTTTGGAATTGTACATACAATTAATTAATCATTATATACAATATTTACAAGTTTGAAATTAAAATATATGGAGGAGACAAATTATACCAATATTATATTACATTTAATATCGCATCTAAACTACATTTATGCACAGCATGCAAATATATCACAATTTATTATTTTTTCATTCTTCCTAGTCTGATAAAACTTGTTAATAGCCCCAGTAAGGCGGTCTACGACCTCTGTAGTATATTTAAAAAATTAATAACATTATATAAACAAAAATGATCACTCTGATTTAAATTTAGTGAAAATAGTTGGATAAATTGAGACCTCTTAAAAAAACTAATATATACTCTAACTTTTTATAAATTTTCAATGATTCTACTATCAATAATAATATTTGATTGAATAATTAAGATGTACCCTCATTAGGGTTGTCAAAATTTGTGATTTTTTTAAAAAAATCGCAATTTCAATCGTATACTAATATTTTAATCAGAGTAGTACTGATTTAGATTGAAAAATATCATACACCATAAAAAATTAATTTAGTATAATAATACCTTGCAAGTAAAAAGTTAATGCTTCAGGAGACCCGGTCAGGAAAATGTCGAAAAAATATATATTGATAAGTCATAAGCTAATTTAATATTTATTTTGTCAAATAAAATGCCTGTAAATCAAAAATTGCAAGACCAGGCAATATCTGAAAAAAATTATTTGGGTCAGGATAGGCAAAAAAATTTTGAGATGAATTATTGATGAATTCTGATATTTGATAGAAAAGATAATCTATAAAGCGTGGTGTTTTTAATTTAAACCCTCCCCCTCCCTTCCAAAAAAATTTTTTTAAATAAATATTTGCTTATTTTGGTGTTCAACTAAATATATTTCAGGTTAAGTCTTGTATTTAAAAAACCGAACTGAGCCAGATACAAATTTAAAAAAATATAACTAGTCGATAACAGTCTGTCAAAAAGAAAATCATTCCATATTTTCTAAAACTATTATGAATGATCTCAAATAAAACTGTCAAACCAAATTTAAAACAATATTTTTTTGACTAATATAATAACGGTGGTTTTATTATTTTTAATTTAGCTACTGTTATTTCTAAATTGGGTGTCCTGATGCATTAGCCCAATTTAAAATGCTAAGGTAATATTCATTCATTCGTTAATACTCGTATATTTAAAATAATTTTGATTATTAATTTTGTGTCAATTATTTGGTATGCCCCAAAAACTCCTCCTTTTTTTATTAGACGTTAGTTTTTAAATTATATTAAGATAGTTTTAATTAATTAACATTAAATAAATCAATTGCTAATAACAAAATATTATATAAATTAAATAAGCAATCTAATCATTTTTAAAATGTTTAGTTATTTGACAAAATTTTTTATAATTATATCTAAATTAGTTAAATATTTAATTATTATATGGTTGTTATTGTGACCCCCATCCAAATATGTTTCAAATTAACAAACAATGAGACCGAAGTGACAATGGATCGAGGCTAATATTATATCTTAACACTAATCTCATGCCTATCATGGGAAAATTCCAAGTTACATCTGATCTGTATAAAAATATTATATTTTTAGGGGAAATAATTAAGTTTAAAAAATTGACTGATGGTTAGCTGGGCCATAATTCAGGATAAAATCATAGTAAAGTAATCAACAGTAGTAGAGAGAGTATTTTCATCATTGAAGTGTATTCCAAGCACGTTTAGGAAAACTGTTTTCTTTTAAACAATACCAATGTCGAGGACATGAATATTAATAGCGACATTTAATTTATTATTAAAATTTTTTAATTTAACAAGTGAATTATTTCTTTCATTATAAAGAAAAACTGATAGCACTGGATTGACAAAATAAAAAAAATTTAAATTTTAAGTTTATTATTAGTTTAGGTTTTATATTTAGCATATTAAATATTTTCACCCTATTGAGATTAGTTATATAATTAAAAACTATTTTATATATTTTGTTAAAAATTGAAACAATGAAAAATCAAAATAAATCAAGTAATTTTTTTTTACTTAATAAGTAATGATTACTAGTGCAATTTAGTATTTTTTAAAAGTATAAAAATCGCAATATTTTTTTAAATAAATATCCAGCCATGCTAATTGTTGAAGAAATTATTAAAAAAATAGTAAACGAATAATATTTCTTAAAAAAAATTAAAAATCGGAGATCATATACATTTCGAAATATTAATTTCAAGTTTTCAACTGATCATAAGATGACCCATATTTTATCAAAAATTAATTTTGATGTTTTCGCCATAATTATCAATTATTAACTTAGCTATTGATATTAGATTCAATATTTGATCATATTTAGTTTTAAATTTAAAACTAATTTTTTGACATCAGTAAAAAGCAAAAAAAGACGTTTTTTGGACCTTTAACCCCGATTATCTCCGCTAATATAGTTGCTAATGTGCTAAAATTTTGTTTATAATCTAATAGGAACATATATAACCACCCTACGATTTTTTATCGAAAGGGGTCGGCCGAAAAGTGATTGATTTGACATGGAATGACCCAATTACCCTTAACCACGATAATTTTGTCAAAAATATATCCCTATATAGTATGACTAATTATTATTATTATAGTTATATGCGATTTTTGAACCAAAATGCGTCAAACTTAAAATATGATAATAAAAAAATTGGCTAAAATTAAAACTAAAATAGTAAATAAATTGGTGGGAGACCGAATATATTTTTTCAGGGTTTAACACTTAGTATAAGGTACTAAAACATTTATCTACAAAATAAATTTGTTGAAATTTAGAGATTTGAGGGTTAATAATATCATTTTTTGGCAAAAAGGCTATATTTTATAAAAAATTCTAAAAAATAGATTTGACATAGTTTAATATATGTTAAATTTAATTTTTTTTGTCTTAATATTAGTTAATGCGCATTGTATTTTTTTAAATCACACTGGAGAAAAATAGATCTGAGTAGACAAAGAACCCCATAATTATCAGGTAGTAATTAAGTGTTTAAATATAGAATATTAATTAATACTAAATAAATGTAATCCTATCTAGGCTGACTCAAAAATATATTTTTATAAATATCTTAAGCTAGAGCTAAGTTTTGACAAAATTTTAGATAATCATAAATTTACTGTCATTTGATTGTTTAAATAATGTAAAAAAAATAAAATTACTCGAGCATTTAATTAATTGCATAATACTATAAATGCCAAACATACCTGAAACGTGTTGCTCTCCTAGGGGCGTATGGTGCATAAGGACTGGCTCCAAAGTGAGAATAAGAAGGCCTTCTCATTACCCTACCTCCAAATCCTCTGGGTCGCCGATTCGTTGTGCTTATACCAGGTTGATTTGTTCTTTTGGCATTTACCTGAGATCATACAAAGGTAAAATAATAATTTGAGCAATATGAATCAAATTAATACATAATAATTTGATGAATTTTTTTGTATGAAGAAATATGAATAATATCTTAGTATGATTTTCCTTTTCTTAAATTATCTTTATTAAAATTCACTTCATGTAAAGGTTATTTTGTTTTATCTCAATTAAAAGTCTTATTAGGTGGGAAGATAGGATTGGGTTATATTTACTAATAATAAGTTCAATATTTTAATTTCTAAGTTTAAGTATAAATATATTATATTAAATTAACCAAATAAATAAAGATTAAACCATCCAAAATAATTTTTAAACAAATGTAGTTATTATTTTTCGAGGCTTGTGGTAAGCCGCCTCTAGCCTTAACTGTTGGCATCATGTTCTGAAGGGTCAAATTTAAAATAATGTCAGCAATTTGTATTAATCAATAAGGTATTGTTATTTAAAAATAAATCACAAATTTCAAAAAATCGATTTTGGTAGGAAATACGAAGGAAAAAGGGTAGGCATATTTGATATATATTCTAGAAAAAAATACAATGTATTCAATGTATCGTATATTCGGATAATAAAGTAAAGACAATCGTAACATCACATTTGGCAACCACAAATAAACATATTCAAATAGAAACATTCATAATAAATAAGCAGTAAACAATTACCATCATTTCTTTGGATGTATGAATCCCCCAATCTATGGTAAGTAATTTAATACAGTGGATTTTTTTTTAGTTATTTTGAATAAACATTCTCAGAAAATTTAGTAATATTTATGATATCTCCTCCATATTTAGAATATTTTTAAAAACTTAAATGAAATGTAAGTATTGATAACTGAAAGGACTAAGTTTTCTGGTAAAATATTCAAAAACTTTTAGCAAAGACAATTTATAATTCATTAGAACAGTTTTTAGCCTGATTCCATGAAGAAAAATTATATGAATTAAATTTATTGAAGTGCATATGTTACATTTTGATCTTATTTAATAATATTTTTCCGTTATTCTTTTTTAACATCACAATGCTAAATAAATAGTTCTTGACAAAGATAATATATAACTCATCGATCAGTTATTATGTGAATTATATTTTTTGAAGCTTATATTTTTTAGTTTAGTACTATTGCTTAATTAATCATTATTTTTTTGCAGGTATTCTTTTGTGCGTCATAATTCTAAATAAACTTAAATTAACCTAGCCAAAATCCTTTAGCCAGCTCAAAGTTGGTGGATAATTCTTCTCATTTAAATTTAACCCTCAAAAATTTCCATAATTTGATGGGCATGAGAAAAATCAAGAATTGTTGTTTTTTTACAACATAAAAGAGCAATGGGTCATTCATTCCATGTCAAAATCGATCAAAAAAAACATGATTCTCGGCCGACCCTTTATAATTTTGTTAAAAATCCATTTATAAACTAAGATTCTTGTAATCTATATTTGAGAAAAATTTTAGCTATCTAGCTTTTATACTTTTGAAGATATTTACGGTTAAAGCATAAAACATGAAAAATTGTCTTACAGGCTAGTTCCTATATTTAATGGTTGCTTAAAAATTATGAAAAATATATGAAATAAATCTAGTATTAAAATAATTGCTATTATCATTCTATATGAGTAAAAAAAATAGGGTGGAACTTATACTACTTCATAGACAAAATCAATAAAACAGTAAAAAATATATTATAAAACTAGAGATGGGGCTAAATGGTCAGGCTTACATTCTTAATGTATTTTTACAATTTTCTAATAAATTTCTCAATGACATTCCTTTTAAACATGAGAACTATTTTATACTTAGGGCTGTGTCGATATTAAATATCGCATCGGATCGGCACCGATATCTCGAGTTTTCCAAAAATATCGAATCGGGCCGATACATATAAAAAACCCGATCCGATCTTTTTATTTTTCTTTTTTTGTTATTTTATGTATATTTATTTTACATTAATAATATTTCCTAAATATTTTTTTATAAACAATGCAAATGCATAACACCAAATTTTATTTATTTTTTAAAATAGATTTATAGTATTTTAAAAGTTTTTTTATAAAAATAGAAAGGAACACCCAATTATTTATTTTAAATCTTTTTAAATAATGCAAATTTTATTATTTATTTAAATAAAAGAATTTTTTTAAATATGTTATCTGAATTACGGAAATATTTTACAAAAGACAAAGATAATTTTGCAAAATGCGTTATCTGCGGAATTCTAATTTCACGGGGAGGAATAATGAAAAATTCATTTAATACTACCAATATCCTCTTTTTAAAATTATTTTAGAAATAAAAAAATTAAATTAATTGAATAATTCGATTTTTTGCATAAAAAATATTGATTTCTTAATTACATTTGGTTCGAAAGGGGGGGGGGTGAAAAATCAATAAAAATATCGGATCTGTATCGGTATCTGATTTTAACCAATATCGGAAAATATCGGATCGGATAGGTGAAAAATATGTGGATCGGCATAGCCCTAATGTATACTATATTTTATTATGAATTTATTTTAAAATATATTATCATATTTTTATATAATATAACATTTATGTTTATATTAATATAAATGATATGGGTGTTAATATTTAATGATTCATAATATAACACTTGTTACATTGGCATACGTCTTCCTAAAAAATTGAATATGGCTAGAATACAGCTGTGGTTTGCGACTTAATTAGGTAGAGCGTCATCTATTCCTGGAAATGTAAAAGATTTCGACAGCCTGCAAGGGGGTGTAAAAATTTCAAAAAACACTTCCTCCGTTTTTTCATTCTTTTCCATGACCAAAGCCAACCACCAATTTAAAACATATATGCATGTCACAAAGCATGATATATTCTCAAATGTAATCCATTCGACTCAGTACACCAAGTTTCTGTCGAACTCGAATACATTTTTGAAATAAAAAGTTCAAATCCCATTCCATGTGCAGTAGCTGAAAAGTTTTATTCTGCTGGAATACCAAATCTGTGTTGAAATATATTTGAATTTTCGATTTTTGTATTGAGCCATGACCAGTCAGAAAAATAAAAAAATTGAAGGTATCGCGTCGAATTTATTTTTAATGAAATTTACAAGGCGAGTTTGAAAAAAGTGCAATGCGACTGTATCATGCTGTAAGCAATCGATATCATAACAAATGATAGTATGATATTTTTATTGTATACAATAAACGGGAGAATTGTTGTGTGTGCATTTGTCATAAATGGTATTTTTCGAAAAAAGATCATTTGGCACTTTTGACCATTGCTATTCAGAAACTATTAGTATTTGGAGGTTAAAATTTTGGATTCAATGCTCTCTAATGATGTTCTCTCATAAGATTTTATCAAAATCAAAAAGGTCGGGCCAAAAAGTTATCGATATGGTATGGAATTACTCTCATGATCTTTTGTTGAAAATAGAAAATTTGAACGAATTACAATATAAAATTTTGGTGGCAAGTACATACACATACATTATGTGTATCACAATCTCCCAATAATATACAATTTTTCGGCCTTAAACAGTCAAATTTAGAAAATCTTACTGAAATATTAATTTGTTTCTTTGAACAGAATAAATATTTCTTTTAGATTACCAAGAATTAACCTTTTCCGTATTTTTGTTTTTTCTAAATAATAATGTCGTGCCAGGTATTCCTCTGATGGTATATTCGCTGTTATAGAATCACAGCATTCACTATACTTTCATCAACACTTCTCCCATGTTTAGGATAAAGGGTTCATACAATATCCTTTCCCATATAAGTATTTTTGCTGTTATTACCATATATGATACTTAAAATTCCTTTTAAATCTTTAAATAGACCAGCTATCTAACATCGAGGTTACAATTTTCCATTTATTAAAATATGATAATTGTTTGATTTTATCTTTAGGGTACTGATATATTATCTATATTTTCTTTTGAATTCCATACTGTCTCCTCAATAATTAAGCTAGTTGCAATGGCTTTGGCTATTTTATCAAATTTTCTGATAGTTTTTCAGTCTATTTTTATGGGAGATTCTTCAGTGTATTAATTGTTGTGTTGATTGATTCAATAATATAGGCATTTATGCCAAAAGTTTTAGTTTTTTTCGAACTTCAATTGACAGTTATTGCAAATCTTTTCATTGATGGTTAGAAATATTGAGCAGATTACAGCATCTAGTTTGTTTATTAAGAATACACATAATATTTTGTTTTATTTGGGGAAACAGAAAATTAAAAAGTTAAAAATTTAATCGATCATTGCATATATTATAATTCATTTTATAAAAAAATATATCGTGATAAATATAGAAACATAAATGTTAATGATATTATAAAATATAATTAATAATAAAATATAGGATACATAGTATAAAAGCAGTTCTTTTAATAAAAACTTGGTAGAGAAGTTATGATCGTAAAAATACAATATTTATAATATTAGGCTTATATAATTAAACGCCATCTATATTGTAAAAATATATTTATCATATTTTTTTACTGGTTTTTATTAATTTTGCTTATGAAGTTGAATATGCTATGCTCCAATCTAATATGCAAAAAATTATAATGGTTACGTTTTGGTTACGGTTCTTAAGAAGAAATTTATAGGTTCGTTTTAGCTAATAAAGGTTTATGATTCATTATAGTTAGAAATTTCTTTTTTATTGAAGCAACACTATCTTCTAATTTATTTTTATATAGGAATCTATGACTTGTATATAAAAAATTTTTATAAGATTCAAAATAACTCTTTTTAAATATATTATTTGAACGTATAGTATAGGTAATATTTTTCTAATATAAAGGGTTCCCTTTATTTTGTTGTAACGATAACACAAATTTTAGCCCCGAAAAAGCCCTTTCCACAGAAACTTGTGTTGCAGGAACTGCCAGTACTATAAGAGCAAGTTTATATAATTCTGGATATTCAAATTATTTCCATTTCTAAAATATAAAAACTGAACTGGAACCAGTTTTTATACTCCTTCAAAAAATAATTATATTGGTTCAGTTACAGTTATGGTTCATATATTTATAATGGTTTAACGGTTCATTACAGTTTATTCCAGATCCCTGTTCATATAGAATGGTAATAGTAATGTTTATCTACTATTTCATAAAAATCGATTTTACCCAATTTTTGTCATCAGGATTTTAATTTATTCTGGGTATAAGAGGTATAAAAATTTTAGAAAATAATTTTTTACTTATATTTTCTGAAGATAAAGAGTATATTCATTATTTTAATAGTAGATTCATTACATAAATTTCATATACCAAAAATTAATCTTAATGAATAAAGTATTATTATTGGCATAGTTTATTTATCCATAATAATTCTCTCAATTAAAATAAAATTAATAATAAGTGCTATTTTTAAATAATAAATTAACATTTCAAATATCTGATTTTAGGGACTTCATTAGTCCCTCTTTCTATAAGTTTGACTCATTTTTATAATTTCTATTAAAGTTTTTTTTATTCTATGTGGGGAATTCTAACAAGCAAAATTCATTATGGCATAAAAATTTGAATTATCATAGGCATAAGATTTTTTTGTATCAATAAGATTTGCTAAATAAAAAATTTAATGATTTTTATTGAATTTATATCTAAAGATTGTAAATATTTTCCAAAATCAGCATTTGTAAATTAGAATACAATTTAATAAATAAGGCTTATGTTAAAATTAGATTTGTTTAAATATATTTATAATCAAAAAGTTTGCAAAAAAATTGATGAGTAGCGAAAAATTTGATGAATGTATCTTTTTCTAGTAAGCTTTAGTTTACCTTAAAATTTCCCCTACAGAAATTGTCATTAATATCTATAGATAGCAATGTTAAACAGCTTGATTTTTTAAAATAGTAACCCCAATATTTCAATTAACAATTATCACATCCTAGAGATTTTGCTCATAGAATGGCAGAAAGATTTGAACACCTATTAATAAAATCTCAAGGCGCATATTATTTTGGCAAAAATGCTAAATCAAACCATTTAACATTAGCTATGAGAGAATATTTTTTAGGAGGGGTCTAAACATATTTATTAGAGTATAGTTGGCAAGGTTACTTCTTAATTTTAAATATATACTTTGATTTGCCTGCCACGAAATAAGGATTCATCTAAAGCAATAGCAGGATTCATTGATTCTTTGTCAGCAAACTCAATATATGCAAACCTATTTATAATATTGTCAATTATATAATATTTCAATTAAATATATTTTTCTCATTTAATTAAATTTAAAAACTTATGTAAAAACATATATTGAGTATTAGCACAATATAATAAAATATTGTTTATATCTTAAATATAAAAAGTACCCTTTTGGTTTTCCAGTAAATTTATCAACTAAAATAGTAACTCTATTAACTGGACCACAGCCATGAAAATGATACTCTAATTCTTCAGCAGTCGCTCCATAATCAACCTTTTCATATTAATTAAATATTGAATAAAATTTAAACTGACATTTCCAACATATATAGATCTGGCATCAGCTTCAATTTTCTCTTCAACTGATGGAAAATTTAAAGAGGGGCTTGCTGTTTAACAGGATATATTTACAATAAAATCATTGTAATATTTATAATAACCTAAATTCATTTGTTTTTCAACTTCATTTTGCATTTGTTTTAATTTTGCAGCTTCTTCTTCCATTTCTCTAACTCTAGCCTTGATATCCTCTAATTCCTTATGATATATTTACATATTTTTATATAGGTATTATATATTTATTACTGGGTCTTCTATTTGCAAATCAAGATTTGAATCCCCCGTGCCATCTAAATTTGGATCTTCTAAAACGTCTAATGTATCATTTTCATCTTGTTCATCAGGCATGGTCAATAATCGGCTATCTCCATTCATTTCATTTTCATTGAAGCCACTCATAATCTACTTAAATTTTTATAAATATTATTATAATTTTAATAAATACTTAATATAATTTTATTTTTTTAATAAGCATAAGTATATTCAGTTTAACTAACATCTTTTAAAATAAAAATGGTATATAATATCGTATATTCCTCACGTTTTTTCTATGAGCAATTGAGGGTGGACGCAGCAACAAACTAACTATGTATGGTGAATAGTTTGGAGTAATATCTAAATTAAAAATTTGACAATATATTATTATTATATGGTAATACCATTAGGTAATAATATATCAAAAATTATAATTGTTAATATAAACTATATTTATTTATTAATAAATTTTTATGATGTCATTTTATAAAAAAAAGTCGATTATATTTATATTTATTTATTCTGTAAAGTAACGTCTAAATAGTCATTATTAACGGCGTTACCTCTTTTGAGGAAAAGAACGCCATTAGTTACTTGTTTCAAAAGGCAACGTGTAATACATTTCTATTTTTTTAATCTGTAAAGCAAAACATTGCGTGTTACTTTAAATTTTTTCTTATAAAAAATAATATATATATTTTACTATTCATATTATATTTTTTTGAATTTTATAAATAATTAAAGATAATTTAGATCAACCACCAAAGTTCTTCATTTCTATTTTATTTATTACATTTATGTTGTCTAATATTAGAGTCAGTCAAGATTGTTAATTTAATTTCAATCAATCAGGGTGATTTATATTCTATAATATTATAATTTATATAATGAATATATGTCATTTATATGTCATTTATATATATTTCTTCAGATGAAGATAATTTAACTCGGTCTCAGTATGAAATTTTATTACACCAATTGTTAATTGTGTTGTTTATTCAAATTTGTGATCAGTTGAAATAATTTATTTTAATGTTAGTTGTGTTGTTTATTCAAATTTGTGATCAGTTGAAATAATTTATTTTAATGTTAATTGAGTATTAATTTGAATATCTATTGAAATGTTTTAGTATATATACCAGTTGATTGTTATACATATCATTATTATTATTATTTGATTTTTTAAAAGAAGAAATAAAATTTAATATAAAACACAAATTATAACTTGTTTTCTTCATGGCGTTCCGGTACGTTTTTGTAAAAAAAAAGAAGAAAATATATAAAATTTGCCTAAAATTAAAAAAAAAGTAATAATTAAATTAAATTAAATTCGAAGGACATGACTTGTTTTTTTTAAAAAAAATATATATAGTCAAATATTATTCTGATATATACATATACAAAAGTGAGCTACCTATTGAGATGACTACCTTATCTATTGATATGACTACCTATCGTGATGACTACCTATTGTGATGACTACCTATTGTGATGACTACCTATTGTGATGACTACCTATTGTGATGACTACCTATTGTGATGACCTATTGCGATGACTACCTATTGTGATGACTACCTATTGTGATGACTACCTATTGTGATGATTGCTTAATCTATTGAGATGACTACCTATTGAGATGACTACCTTATTTATTGATATGACTACCTATTGTGATGACTGCTTAACCTATTTGACTCCCTATTGAGATGACTACCTTATCTATTGATATGACTACCTATTGTGATGACTGCTTAACCTATTTGACTCCCTATTGAGATGACTACCTTATCTATTGATATGACTACCTATTGTGATGATTGCTTAATCTATAGAGATGACTACCTAAACCTATTGAGATGACTACCTTATCTATTGATATGACTACCTATTGTGATGACTACCTATTGAGATGACTACCTATTGAGATGACTACCTATTGAGATGACTACCTATTGAGATGACTACCGATTGAGATGACTACCTATTGAGATGCCTACCTTATCTATGGATATGACTACCTATTGTGATGACTACCTAATCTATTGAGATGACTGCTTAACCTATTGAGATGATTACCTAGTGAGATGACTACCTTATCTATTGATATGACTACCTATTGTGATGACTACCTAATTAATTGATATGACTGCCTAATCTATTGAGATGACTACCTAATCTATTGAGATGACTACCTATTGAGATGACTGCTTAATCTATTGATGACTACCTAATCTATTGAGATGACTACCTAATCTATTGATATGACCAATGCCTAATCTATTGAGATGACTACCTAATCTATTGATATGACCAATGCCTAATCTATTGAGATAACTACCTAATCTATTGATATGACCAAGAATCATACCTTAGCACGTTCTTTCATGCAAAAAGCTTCTTTCTTCATGGTGTCCTGGCACTGGATGTTGGACTGGAATATGATAACCAGCACCTAACCTAATGTGACAACCTAAAAAGTACCAATATGGAAGTTGGAGTTAGGTTATGAATTCTATATTGTGAGACCAATGATGATTACTTATTATTCTACTCCACATAAGAAAAAAAGTTATTATAAATTAAGATTTTATGCCGGGATAAAGGCATGTTATAAATCATTAAAATAACTAAAATGTAAAATCATAATGGATATATTTGAACACATAAAAAGCCTTAAAAAAAATTATTTACTTAATTTCTTAGTGAAATATTGATATTTTTGATTTCTTGTATGATGACCAATTGTTGTAAATTAACTAAACTTAAAGATGAATTTTTAGATATAATGAAAAATAAACCATTAAAAATCCTAAACAAGAAGATAAAACTTTAATTTTAAATATATTAAAATGTAATTAAAACATGAATTAAAAGGTTTAAATCATATGATTGATTTAAATAACCCTTATAAGTAATACTTAATATGATAAAAATGTTTTTGAAATAAAGCTTTGAAGATAAAAGGTTATGTAAAAATTAAACATCATTATTTTAGAAAAATATTGTTTGAAATTTAAATTTTTTTTTAAGAGAGGGAAATGTGCATAATATTTTATTTGCATATTTTAACCTCGGAGATTGAAAATAAATTAAATATTAAAACGTAACTTAAATTATTAAAATAAAATATTAAAACGTAACTTAAATTATTAAAATAAAATATTAAAACGCAACTTAAATTATTAAAATAAAATATTAAAACGCAACTTAAATTATTAAAATAAAATATTAAAACGTAACTTAAATTATTAAAATAAAATATATAAAACGCGAAATATCATATAATAATTTTTTTTGATTTATCATTCTTACGGAATTCTACATATTTATCATTCCATATTCCAAAATTTTTATTCCAAATTCTTTTTTCTAAATTTAAAATTTTATTCCGTATTCCATATATTCAAATTTGATCAATTATCCCTTATGATAATGATAACGTACAATTTTAACAAACCTACGAAAACGTATGGACTCACGCGACTCAAACAGACTTATGCGTCCACCGAACAGCAACTTGATACTTTATCGAGGAGGGGAATGTTAATTATGTTGTTTATTCAAATTTGTGATCAGTTGAAATAATTTATTTTAATGTTAATTGTGTTGTTTATTCAAATTTGTGATCAGTTGAAATAATTTATTTTAATGTTAATTGTGTTGTTTATTCAAATTTGTGATCAGTTGAAATAATTTATTTTAATGTTAATTGAGTATTAATTTGAATATCTATTGAAATGTTTTAGTATATATACCAGTTGATTGTTATACATATCATTATTATTATTATTTGACTTTTTAAAAGAAGAAATAAAGTTAATTTAAAACTAAAAAAATAATTTGTTTTCTTCACCAATAGAGAAAGTTAAGGGAACTAGTTCTATATTATCTGGTCCTAATTCAAATATTTCAATCATGAAAAAGATCTTGACAAATATAAACAAAAATTAGATATGATTTCTTTAAATAACGCACTTATCAGATAACTTTTGCTAAAGATTTTAAAAAAAATTCAATAAGGGTTTGAACGATACTTGTTTTGTGGTGATAAAATAATTTTTTATTTTTAATATTAAAGTAGCGATCTTATACAGGTAGAATATCAGAAGTAGGAGACATTTCATCCAGATACGTTTGAGATCAAGTCAGTGTCATTAGAATTTACCATATACAAATAATCAAGATTGTTTTACCAGCAAAATTTAATAAACCACAAAAATAATTTGAAATAGACTTTTATTAAAAGTAAAATAACTAAAAGAATATATAAGTTTGAACCTCAATTTATTTAATACCAAAAAAAAATATATTTATATAACTTTTATTAAAAAATTAATTAATTACAAATAGTGCTGTAAAGATACTTCAAAAAAATAACGTCGTTACTAACTGCTATACCTTTTTTAAAGTAAAGGAACTCAAGGTAACGGGCAGGGTTGGGCAGTATCGCGGATAATTGTATCTTTTTTAAAATTTTGGAAAGTATCTAGTATCCAGTATCTAAGATACATATTATTTAAAAGTATTTGTATCTTAACCAACTTTGTAATCAAAAAGATATAGATACTTTAAAAAAAATTTTATTGATTAATTTAAATAGTATTAAAATTTAAAATGAAATTGTTTTAAGATTTAAATGAAAAATTTAATCAAAATTTAGATATTTTAAGATAATTTTTGATATATGACGTTGGTCGTCATATAGCAATTTGCTAACAATTATAACTACCATATTTGAATCGTTTTATATCTGTCTATTTTAAAATTATGGAAGAAGAAAATAGAATAATATGTTTATCTTCGTCTTCAGATGATTCTTCAACCGAAAATTATAACAATAAATCTAAACTAAGCATACTTAATGGCAAATTTTTTGAAGTACTTCAAGATGATCATAATAAAGAAATTCATCGTGACTTTGGTATTGACGAAAAAGTTATAGCAACTGTTACAGATAGCGGCTCTAACTTTAAGAAAGCTTTCATTAAGTTTGGATATTCTATGGAAGCTGTAGAGAATGACTTTGACATCAATGATGATGAATGTATAGAATTCGAAATCATTGAAAGTATTATTTAATACTTCCTTAAAATTTATTATGATATTGTAAATTTAGTAAAAAATTTTATTCAAATAAAATTATTTATTTGTTTATTTAAGGGTCTAAAGAAGCCTCAATAACATTGCCTCAACACATTCGTTATTTGTGCCATACGATAAGTCTAATTGCCACAACAGATGTCGAGAGAGCTATTAAGGATTCTCCTAACATTTCTAAAATTCATCATCCTGCAATAGCTAAATGTACTAAGCTATGGAATGCAAATAATAGGCCTAAAACTGCAGAACTTATCAAAGC